CCGCCAAGGAAAGGTCTTTGCGTCCAGGGTGAAGCAGATGATGAAGTGAGGTGAATAGAGCAACATCTGTAAAGTTATTGGCATCGAGCCCTGGTCGCTTGCCTGCCGGGACCTCGTCGGTCTGTTGCAGGGTATCCTTAACCGCGCACCGATCGTCAGGTATGCTCGAGGTTTTCTTTTGCTCCCGCAGGGTTGCTGAAGGCACGCTGCGGCAGCATCAGGATGGCGAGGACGACAGCGGGAGAAGTCTCTGGAACTACGATGGGCTGTCCCGCCGCATCCATCGCCTTTGATTTTGTTTTCCCGTTTCGATGGAACGGGATGGGCGTCACACAGGTCCTGGACACACTATGGGCCTTGATTCGGCCGCCCACATGCTATGTCAACAGGAAAAAGCACCTTGTTGTAGATCGCTCTCGTCGGAGGTGTCTGTGCAATTCACGTGCAACGGCCATGCTTCGAACTCCAATCGCTTTGCTTCGAAGAGCGGCTCCACGTGTTCTCATGGCTTCATGCTGGTACTGGGAGGGCTTTTTTTTCCCAGTGGCAGCGGTCATATGGATCCCCCAAAACAGTTAACGACACAACTCCGTGTCTTCCGGCTCGAAGGGTAGAGGGGAACCCGGCAGAGACCCGGGGTCACAGGGCGCGGCAGGCGCGCAGTGGCCCAGGTGCCGGCTTTACGCGGGGTGTAGAGGATGAGAAGCACATGTTTGTTCCGACGGTGATGGTGATTCCGGCGGTGGTCGTACGGTTTGGTGATGGGAATGGTAATGGTAACAGTGATGCCCAGTTTCATTCAGTCTTCGTCATGATGGTGGACGACGCTGCTTTGGATGATTCTGCTGTTGGTCGTATCTACCTGATTATTCTGACGACACCGCGGAGGTTTACGCCGAAAGGATTATGATTGGGATGGATGCTGTGGGGATGATTATGTTGATTCAAACGATGGCGATGATGGTGTTGGCGAGGTATTCATGGTGAACACCTCCGTCATTGCGGTATTCAAGCTCAGAAGTATCATTTTGCCATCATCGGCAGCACCAGAATCGCGATCATTTTCTTTTGTTGGTTCCATTCTTAACCTCACCTTGATCAGAGCATGAACATGACATCATTGTCTTCGGCTTTATCATGATTTCGATCCCTATCTTCGTTTTCACCGTCGTCGTCATCATGTTTCCATCCTCTTCATCATCATCGTTGTCATTCGCTGCAGTAACATCGAGGACCCTTGTATTCAACCACCTATCAGGGCTTATCATATGAAAACGAGTGGTTCTTTGCTTTACACTCGCTGCTCTTGTTGTTGGGATTTTTGATCTTGTTTTTTGCTGTTACCGCCGCTGCTGTTGTTACTCATGTATCTGTGCCGCTGCTGCTTATGCTCCTCCCTCTCCTGCTGGTGCTGGTCGTGGTGGTGGTGGTGGTGCTGCTGCTGCTCATGCTGTAGCTGCTGCCTCCTTTGCTGGTTTCCAACAGCATTAGCTGGAAACTCTTAGGTTAAGCTTGGAGCTGCACCCCCACACTTCAAGAAAGACCAGGCTTGGGTTCCTTGCCTCAGGGTGCATGTTAAGCTAGCTCTAGCAGCCCTTATTTCCTGTATCTTGGAGTCCCAGGTGGGCATCTTAACCCCATGAATCCGATGATGGGAGCCGCGGCCCCAGTGCGGCTTGCGCTGACTGCTGGGGTGGCGGTGCTTACACAGCAATGTCGCCCCAAGATCCGGCAGCAGTAATTCGAGTTGCAGTGGTAGCAGAAGCAGGCAGAGTGGCAGCAATCGGTAGCAATAGCGCCAGTGTGTTGTTTGCTAGCGGTGGCGGAGGCCCGACGAAGGCAACGAAAGTAATCTGAAGACCGCACTGTCAACAACTTGTAAGGAAATCGACAATTGGCGTACGCTTTCGCCCACCTTAAAAGCAGATAAAAGAGCAGTAAATTTTCAGAAGGGCAAGACTTGAAGGATAGACTGAACATGATGAGCTTACACTGACATGCAAGTGTCATGACGGTCTTTACGCTGAGGGCGGCGGAATGGGCTGTGGCGGCTGCGGTGGTTGCGGGGGCTGCGGCTGTGGCGGCTGCGGAGGCGATCATTTGGCTGTGGCATTCTTCGTGTACAGTACAGGAGCGAGCATTGAAGATGAGTGTGATTGTGTTACGCAGAGAGGCTCAGTCGATCGCCTATTTTTGGCAGTCTGCCTCTGGTCCATGCCATTGTGTCAAACTGTGTTTGTACAACTGCGTTGCCACCATTCTCGTGCATCCGAGTGCCGTTGGTTGCTCGCCCTTGAGCTGCTGCCACTGCTAGTTCCACTGCCTGGCTACTGGCTTCGACCACTGCCACTACTGGTGCCAGCAAAGCTGTAAGACATGAACCCAGGAACACGCTGGAAGATGCGGGAAAAATCTGTAGCACCTGCGCACAGATGGGATCCAGAGGTGCAGGGCCCCACCGAACTCCAGCAAAAACAGCGGAGCTGTAAGTATCATCCCGCATTATCCCGCGTTCAGAGATCATTTCTAGCATGGGCAAAGGTTCTTTGATCAGAACGTTGAGACAGTCGCTGTCTTTAAACGACTCCTGCTGGTACTATACTTTGAAGTGTTTCGGAATTATCCCCGTTCGCTTGCACTGTACTCTTGCTGCCGTGGATTGCTACTGCCATGACGATAGTTTCGTTCGGAATGCGATTGGGAAGTTAGCCTAGAAATGCCCATTGCAAAACAGTGGCAGTGCTGTGAAATATTTTAGTGACAGTCTTGTTTATGGACCAGTACCAGGTGAGCTCTTAAGGAGGCGCGATGTGTATGGAACCCTCAGCTGCTCCCTTGAAGGTGGCTGCGGCATGCCAGGCATGAAGATGGGCCAGGGCCCCAGTGGAAGGTCCTTAGTTACCTTAAACAAGTTGGCTGTTGGGTGTCATCCTCACGATCCCAGAAGTGAGTGTGTGCTCCACAGGCGGATGCGGTGGATGCGGGGGAGGCTGCGGAATGGGCTGTGGTGGCTGTGGCTGTGGAGGTTGCGGTGGCTGTGGAAGTGGCTGCAGTGGGGCCATGCCCGCGTGCGGTGGTGCCATGCCTGCCTGCGGCGGCGGCGCCTGTGGCGGCAACATGCCCCTTATCCGCACAGAAGTGGGCCTGACAACCCCAAGCTTGGCCCTTTTCGTTCAGTGCGCATGTCAAGAAGTGAGTGGTTGGATAAGCTCCTTTGAGCAGCTCAGGGGCATGATGCAACCCAACGCCATGATGCAGCAGCAGGTGCACCATGCTAAAGTTTCCTACTCCTTCAGCCTGGCGATGGCCGGAGCCATGCCATGTTTGAAGCCATGCTTGGAGACATAAGAATTAGACATGATAAAACGATAGTACACAGCAGCACATATCTAACTAATTTGTCGAGGGTTCGTTGTGAAATAAACAGAACATTTTAGAAAGAAGCGCAGATGTGAAGTGCGGGCTCGCATTCAGACGACCGTTGCTGCGAGGAGACCCATAGGTCTTCTAGCTGGTGTAGTGAGGATCCTGTCATGTTGAGTCTGAATTGGGGTCGCTTTGTTCAGTTCTTTCACCCGAAGTATTGAAGCCCCAGCTCTCCGATCTGGCAGATGGCACAAATGTCCTCCATGATGATGCCCATGATGACGATGGCGCCTCGGCTTCAGTTAGTCTTTACTCTGAAAATCTCTGAAGCTTCGCCACATGAATTATAAACCCCAAAGCCCTGAACCTTAACTGACAGACTTCGATTGTGTGGTGTGAAGCTAGTGGCTGGACGAGTGGTCATACAGGCACGTGATGCCCGATTGCAACAGTCTGCGAGGTCATGAGGACATGTCGACCTGTGTAGATAACTTGTGTGACTACTTGGACGGCTGTTGCTGTGGCGAGCTACTCAATGTGGCGGCCTACCAAATCGCTCAGCGAACTCAGACGCCTCGCCCCGATTGTCGCTGTGAGAGTCGACAGGCTTCTAAGCCTCTAAGCCCTGAGCCACGGCCCCTTGAGTGTGGAGCTCGAAGTGACCATCAGTCTGGCCCTATCTATGGCTGAAAGGCTTCGAAATCTCGTGCTGATGCCAGGATGTCGCAGTTTGTTCTGAATTCTGAATGTTTGACAACTTCATGATAGGCGTCTGAAGGGAGCGTGCTATGCTGCAAAGTACTTTGAAGGTCCGTATGATGATAACCGTGATGATGATGGTGGTGCTGGTTACTTGGAAAGTGGACAGTTTGTCCCGTACTGCTCTTGCGCCCTCCCACGCCCAGGGCGGCGGCGGTGGGATGGGCGACATGTCGTCAGTCCTGATCTGAGCTTTCTGCATAGGCTGCTCTTGGAAATTCTGGTCAGCGGCGCGGGCTCTCCTGTCTGCCTGATGAGTAAAACCACCTTACTTACATGGGACAAGAATCCTGTTTGCACAGGGCTTCGAGGAATCGGCCTACCAGGGTTCAGCTTAGATCGGAGCCCCTGCTCAGATGATGAAGAAGATGCAGGAGATGCCTGGTGCTCAGAGTTGAGGGAGGCAAGATACTGCTTTGTACTCGGGAGTCAATGCCGTCGAGAGTGTACTGCATGCAACCGCATAGCACCCGCAACAGGCGGGGGCGCACTAGCGCGCGGTGAGGGGCCGCAACCCCTCACCACAGCCCTGGCGAAAGAAAGACCTGATCTTGAGTTTGCATCTTGGGATGAATTCCCCTTTCAGGATTCATAGGCTTATGATACATAAAAGCAGAAGGTTCTCGGACGGGCGTTGGACTCTCCTACCACCCTTTGCCGCAAGCCACTCAGCCCTAAACTTGACGTGGGTTTTTTTGTGTAAGGCTCCCCGAAAGGAAGGATGAGGCCAAGTTCAGAAGAACTTCTTGTCAAGATGTCATATGATGTTATATTGGCCCTAGATGAGCACGACGAAGCCATGAGCCCTGGGGCTGAGGATGGGCATGGGCTCGAAGAGCAAGGAGAAAGGAACCAAGAAGAAGTCGAAGGAGTGCCCGCCAGGGCGAAGGTTGAATTTCTTGTAGCTTTAGCTTTTTGGGCGCA